TTTTTTTTTTTTTTTACTTTGTGGTTGATATGGATTTTTTTTACAAGATACTGTTGAGGTTTTAACCAAGCATTTCTTTGTGACAGCTCTCTTTTAAAACAAGAGACTAATGCTTGTTATATTCAATTAACTAATGACGTGTTTTGTACGGTGGATAAAAAAATGAGAGGATGAAAAGTAGAAGTGATGCACTTTCTATCATTTAAGGGATGAATTATTCTTTCACTCATTTGTGTTTAGTACGAGGGATAGAAATTAAAAATAATTTATTTTTTTTGTGTTTAGTTGGATGAAAAAGTAGAATAATGAAAAAAGTATAGATACGTAATTTTACCACTATATCTATATATAAAAATAATGTATATATAACATATAATCTATATAACAAAGTACAATACAATTCAAATCTTAAAAGATAAACAAAAATAACTTTTACATTTCGCGATTGATATCTCTTTAAATTTTACTTTAAAATTAATCTGACGATTAATATTAACACCTCAAATTTAATAAGAAAAATAGGGGTCTAAGGGTGTGTTTGAGATAACTTTTTAAAGAGACTTATAACTTCTCATAAGTACTTTAAAAAAAATAGTGTTTACAACTGCCCCACCATCACTATCACCCCCACCACCACAACCGTTGTCACCCCACTACCACCACCACCATTGTCACCCCACTCCCACCACCACCACTCTCACCCCCACCACCACCATCACCACTGTCATCGCTGCAACTCCACCACCACCGTCCCACCATCATCACTGTCGCCACCACACCACCACCATCCCCACTACCCCCACCCTCACCACCATCATTACCATTGTCACTCACAGCTACCACTATCACAATTGGTTGTCGTCACCCAACACAATCATCACCATTTTTCACCACTATCCCTGTCACCCATCACTACCCTTGTCGCCCATCACCATTCGCTCTCACTATAATCGATGCTTAAATTTTTTTTTTTTCTCTATCTTTGTAATTTGATTTTGAATATAAATATAAATATGTTTATTGTTAACTTATTTTTTATTACTCCGTGCCGGAAATAACTAATTAATAAATATGGTATATGTACATATCAAATTATATATAGACAAATATGATACATTTCAACACACATAATTAATTTTCCATATACTTTTCCTCCTAATTTTGGAGAAATTGATTTTAGGTGAGTTTGATGGAAAATTAATACATCCACTTTTCTACCTTTCCTGTTTTCCTTCCTTACAAAACATGATATTTTATCTATCCCTCTAATTTTTTATCATACCAAACAAAGCATAAATATGATATTGTTGCAATTTAATTAGCAATGAAAATAATATTGAATAGAATCTATTATTAATCTAATATTAATAATGAAACAGATTGACAAATAATTTTAATAGTTGAGTATAAATGGATAAATGACAATTCTACTATACCATAAAAAAATCGATATCATACAAGAATGTATAACTTTTTTAAAATTTTTGTATAATTTTAGG